CGCTGTAGCTCAAGTGGTAGAGCGCTCGCCTTGAGCTGAAGAGCTGAGGGACAGCGCCCAGGCCCAGAGTTCAAGCCCCACGACCGACAAAAAAATAAATAAATAAAAAGAACAGTCTATAATTTAACATTCTACAAACAAAAACAGGGTCCAGAGCCGGGTGCTAGTAGCTCACACCTAAAATACTCCTCAGAAGACTGAGATCTCATTTTGCCTTTGCCTCACAGCACAGGCACTAAACTTGTCACAAGATCATCTCTTCCATATGGAGCAGAGTTGTTTTGTGTCCATAGGAAACAATGGGAATGATAGCTTTCATGTGGCATTTCCCAAAATTGATTCTCTTCCCGTTGCTCACGCCTAGACAAAGGAGCTCATCAAGTCTGAAAAGCCTGTGCCATGTCTACTTCCTCAAGTATCATCTTATGCACTCGCATGGTAAAGGCTCTGTGAAATCTTAGCCTGTTTCATCCAGTGGTTGCCAAATTCATCTGGCAACAGAATCCTTAAACAATTTTTTAATGTAGTAACATATATATTAGAGCACAAAATATGCTATTTTGTGTTTTTATACACAATGCTATTTGGCTCTATTAAATAAATCCCCATTCTTCCCTCCTCCCAGTCCCTGTATTCTACTTTCTAATTATAAATTTATCTGTTTTAGATAGTTTAGGTAAATGAACCATACAATATTTGTGTTTCTGTGTCTGGCTTATTTCACTCAGCATTTTTTCCCCCCGGGTTTTTCCTTGTAGTATATGTCAGAACTGCATTCCTTATTACAGCTAAATAGTATTCAATTGTGTTTGCTTTTGAAATTCTATGTGTTGGGGTGGGGGAGGGTATGCATGCTGATACCAAGTCTTGAACTCAGGGCCTTGAATTCAGTGCCTCATGCTCTTGCTTGGCTTTTTCCACTCCTGGCTGGTGCTCTAACCACTTAGCCATGCTTCTAGTCCAGATTTTTTTGCTGATTAATTGGAGATGGAATCTCTATAGACTTTTCTGTTAGGCTGACTTTAAACTGAGATCCTCAGATCTCAGCCTCCAAATAACTAGGGTTACAGGCATAAGCTGCCAGTGCCCATGTGGCTGCTTTAGTAACTCTTGAGCACACTGTGGAAATGCAGATGGTAAAATGAGTGTCAAACTGACTTTAGCATCAGTCTGAGCCATGGTTCTAGCACAACCTAGCATACTGTGTGACCTGAGACAAATCATTTTACTTGTCTCTCTTGCTTTACTTAAAATGAGAAGAATGTACTCATCAGTGAGTTCTTGTAAGGAATAACTAAAGCAACCTATATAAATCTCCTAGCAAGATCCTATGCCCTAAGCTTGGCATGGTGGTTTACTTCTTGAGTCCCAGCACTGGTGGCTAAGGCAGGAGGATTGTAGAGTTTTGAGACCAGCCTGGATTATACAGCAATGCCCTGTCTCAAAATAAGCAAAACAAGACCAAAAAAAAAAAAAGTTTTGTTCTATAACAGACACTCCATGCATAGATACTCTTCTCTCCCTTATACTGACAGAAAAGGAATATCTAATACAGTCTCCATTTTGGTAGCTGGTAGTAATCAGCAGTGATCAGTAGTCTATTTGGCTCTACCCCTGCAGACTCCAGCATGGACCAATACTGTAGCCATTAGCTACAGTACAGTGTGACTACTGAACATTTGAACTTTGGTCTAGGCAGGTGAAGTGCTGATTCTTTCATTGTAGTTCACTTGAATAACCACATGAGGCTAGTGTCTACTGACTGGGCACCGTGGCTCTCCTTAGTTCCTTAAGGAATTTAAAAAATATACCAGTGCCTAGGCTCCTTTGCAAAGCATTTAAGCTTTAATATTGGTGACCAATGTGAATTTGGTTTTAAAACCCCCCTGGTGATCCCAATGCAGAGAGAATGTTGATCTGTTTACTCTGTCCCTTCTTCTCTACCAATCAGTATCCACATTTCAAGGAAAATCATCTGTGTTTTGCATCCCTTAAATTGATATTTTAAAGATTTCATCCAATTCCTTTCCTTGTATCTACCTACAACTTCAAATATTATCTTGTCTTCTTTCAAAATCTGTCACTGATAAACTTTTTTTTTAGTAGCGGTGCCTGGGTGTTGAACACAGGGCCTTACAATGCTAGCCAAGGGCTCTAGTACTGAGCTACATCTCCAGCCACAGAATGGCTAATATAATACAGAGTATTATTTATGGAACCCTAACTATGATTTAAAACTATAAAAACACAGGGAGAATACCAACTTCACAATATTAACAAAGAGAGGAATGACTAGGTAAAGATCTGATTGTAGTTTTTTTTTACTAATTTTTAAACTTAAATTTTTACTGCTTTCAATTGTACAAATATAGACTAAACTATGGCATAACTGCTTGTTTAAAACCAGGAACAATCCTGTTGATATACAGCAAATATTTCTGTTTTAGATAAAACTATAATAAATAAGCAACTATTCTCCAACCCCTCAAATATGCATATATTTCTTCCATGCAGTTATACAATTTATTTTCTTATACTTTTTTTTCTAAAGAAGGGAAAATGGACCGGGAAGCCTTTCATTTTTACCTAAGGTGGAAAAATATATGTTGAGAAGTACTTATCTTGAGCTGCATGCCTTTGACTCCTGCCTGTAATCCTAGCTACTGAGAAGGGTAAGATCTGAGGATTGCAGTTCAAAGCCAGCCCAGGCAGACTCTAATCTCCTGTTAGCCCTCAAAAAGCTGGAAGGGAAACTGGCTCAAGAGGTAGAACTGATAGCTTTGAGCAACAAAAGCTCAGGGATAGCGCCCAGGCCCTGAGTTCATGCTCCAGGACCATACACACATACACACACACACACACACACACACAGAGTCCTTGAGGTTTGCTTTTACTAAATGTCACTCTAAATGCACCTTAGATAAGACTATTAATCTCAATTTCTGCTGTCATATCCATCCCTCCAAGACAATTCCCAAATGATACACTTCACCATTAAACATTTGATATTTTTGAGTTCCTCGTCCCATTCAGAATATCTGCCTACTGAATCTGAGCTTTGTCAAGACAAACTATGTAGAAGAAATCAAAGATTTCACAATTAGTGTTTCTTTTTTAAAACTCATCGTTTAACTTACTCAAATGCATCTTAATTTTAAAGTGTCTTTCCTGTTAGTCTATTTAAAAGTCCATCTGTAGCTCAAGATGAATTAAGGAAACAGGAAATGACAAGCGATTTGTAGAAAAAGGCTAGGAAATGAAACAGAATTTGTACTCCCCACTCAATCCTGAGCCTCGTGCTCTGCACTTTCTAGACAGGGATCTTTTTTTTCAGCGAATGCCTGAAACGATCTACACCATCTTGGCAGGAAAAAAAAAAAAAGAAAAGGTAGCAGATCAGTTGTCTTTGCCCTAGAACATTAACACAATCCCTTTGTAAGATATTTGAGCCTTTGGCATTATCTAGAGGAGCTCGTTTTCGGTGCCCCAGTGACTTCTTTCTCTGGGGTGTCAAAAGCAGCACTGAATGAAGGATCTGTCGGCCCTATTGGCTGAGAACAAGTTGCAAAATGGTTAGAATAACTGGGGGGGGGGTTGGGGAGGTTTACATCCCATTAGTGTAGGAGTGCCAGATTTATCTCGGTAAATAATTTGGAGCCTTGGGTCACAAATGGCTTGGGACGCGCCACGTGGGAAAGACAAACCTGCATAAGCCAAAAAGGTGATGAGGGCAGCCAGCAGGTGGATGCGAAGCTTGCTCGAGACCTCCTGGCTGTGCAGCAGAGCGCTGTGGAAGATAAAGGAACAGATGGCCTCGGTGACGACCGCTTTGGGCACGTCGGTGTGGATGGGATTCTTGCAAGCTAAGCTCCTCTCGGTGAAGTGGTGCTCCGTCAGCCCCAGGCTCCACAGGGTGCTCACGCAGTACCTGCTGCACAGGGCGCTGAGCAGCTGAGCGGACAGCCGGACGGCCCCCATCTCGGGGGACATGCCCCCCAGCAGCATCTGCATCATCACGGCGCACGGGTTGGCGGAGGTGCCCGCCAGAGTCAGGCCGTGCACCAGCGAGAAGAAGTAGATGAGGGTCAGCATCCAGGAGGGGCGCGCGGACTCCTGCGCGCCCAGCAGCTGCAGCTCGTGGGTGCAGCAGCAGAGCTGGAAGGTGGCGAGGAACTCCAAGGTGAAGGCGTGGACCCGGGGCCTGTGCCGCTGCTGCCGGGCGACCACGCGGGCCAGCCCCGACAACAGCACCACCGCCAGCAGCAGCCCCAGCGACGCCAAGGTGTCCCGCACCTCCGGCCAGCGCCCCTGCGCCGCCGACATGGCTCCCCTTCGCCGCCCGCCGGACCAACCGAC